GATAATGCTGCTTGCATCGAGCAAATGAAACTTGGATTTATCAAAGGTGATAACACCAAACATATTTCTCCCAAATTTTTCTATAATCAACAACAACAAACTCTCCTCAAGATCCAAGTAAATCAAATAAGATCTGAGGAGAATGTGGCAGATTTATTCACCAAATCATTACCTAAAGCCACATTTGAGAAACATGTTAAAAATATTGGGATGCGTAGACTTTCGAATCTTCCTTGATCATGTACACTTCAGGGGGAGATTTGAATATTCAAAGGTCTAGCTTTTAATTTATGTTACACTCTTTTCCTTAAACCAAGGTTTATTTTTCCCATTGGGTTTTGTTACTTGGTAAGGTTTTTAATGAGGTAATAACAATATGCATGAACATAGCGATCGAAGTAAGGATCGATATTCTTTTCTTTGTTCAAGATTTTTATTCACAGGATTTTGACACTTGATGAGATTTTGACAAGAGATCAAGATTCTGCAATTCTACCTACAGCTCAGCACAAGGGGGAGTGTTGAAGGAATTTGTAAATTAGTGTGCTGTTGTGTAGATAGAATTTGCTTTATATTGTGTAATAAGTTGTACTGGCCCGTGGGCCTTCTCTTGTAAAACCCTACGAAGCTCTTCCTTATATAAGGGAGCTATTATCAATAGAGAAAGACACATCTCTCACAACAAATCCTAAGATATTGGAAATCTCAATATACACAGGTACTCCATATCTCTCTCTTATAGCCGAAATCAAAGGAACCGCCATCAGAGGAATAGAACGGATTTTTCTAATCCACACTTCAACCTCACACACACTCTTCAAGTTGTTGTGAAGATTGTTGTAAGTCCCTTGTATAAATACCATACCCTGTGTACGTTTGGGAGTTATGAATAATGAGACATCACTTTCTTCTTCATCTCTTTCCTCTGTAACTTTCATTCTCCATTACAGTTAATTCGAAGCTCTCATTCTGCCATTAGAGTAGCTTCCTGATAACTGTAACACGCACACTACTTCAACCTCTTCTCATCTTCTTCTTCATACAAATCTAGATTCTAATCCACACAATCAATTTTCATTCTTCTTTATCAATTCAACGGGATTTGTATCTACTCCAAGGTATGTTTCTTCTCTCTTCATCTTCTTCTTTTCACTAATTTTAGAAATTTTATACAATTTTTTTTCTTGAAATTTTAATAGTCGTATATGCTACTCTTCTTTTTTTATTATAATCCAATATCTAATTTATTGAAAATCCTACTTTTGCCAAACCATTATAGATAAATGTTTCCTCAATCTACTTTTCTTGAAATTTTAATAGTCCGTATCTACTTTTGCTAATTTTTTTACAATTCTTTTGGTTGATTTTGCTGAACTCAAACATGCATGCCGATTTTTTTCTTAAAAATTAGATCTGTAATTTGGAGGTAGAGATGGTCCTTCATATTTTTATAACATCATCATCAAATTTAATATTGACCAAATATTACCAATTCCTAATAGTTTACAAATTATTATCAAATTGCATTTTTATGTATATATTACTCCAAATTGATTTGTATTTTTTTAATGATTTGGAAAAGTGGAGTTCATTCCTAAAGAATTTTGATTAGTTGTCATTCGTATATATTATACTAGTATTTAACCCGTGCAACGCACGGGTCGAACGCATGTTATTTTTAACTCTTCTAATTTTTTGTTTTAAGAAAATAATTAAAGAGTAAAGGTAAAATAATATAGAATGTTAGATACGACATAAACAGAGTTTGCTAACTTAAATTCATGTATATAAAAATTGAAAAGAATGTATAAATGTATTAATTAAATGCAATTTTTTTGAGGCAGGAGCATTCTAGTAAGCACTCATTTGAACCCAGTAAGATAGTCAAAAAAGTAGCTTCTTTCTCTCTAGGCACATATTCATCATCTAAGCCATTACCTGTGTGAATGGTAAGAGGAATTGCTCAATCAATCATTTGGAAGCAAATTTGGAGAATCATTACACACATGGAGAAAAATAAGTAACATTCCCATAGAGGAATTAGTTCTTAACTGTAATATGAGAGTTTAGATGAAAAAACAAATAAGAGTGAGAAACGTTCTCTACAAAATGAGGCATAAAACCATTCTACAAATAAAGAACATGTCGATGGCTAAGGTGATCACTCACACTCCAAAGAAAAGGCGAGAAGGTGAATGTGTGAAAAGCGGGAATAATATAGCTAGCAGAATAGTACTTCAGGAGTCAAGTGATCATTCACACAGATGCCTTCTAATGTTAAAACACTAATATAGCTAGCAGAATAGTACTCAAGTTCATTTAAACAGAAAAGTTACCTTCAGGAGTCAACACAAATGTTGTGAATCAAGTACTTGGCATTTTGTAAAATTGCACCAGCTTCCTCATTTGAAACGTCTAGCAAGGGCAGTTCCTTAATTTCCTCCTGCCATTTTTCCATATGTTCTTGGTGGATTCTAGAAATGAAAAGCAGCAAAGTTTTTCTTGATCCTACTGTTTCCATAAAGCGAAGAAATAATAAAGTATCCTTATACTTCTTACGTTATCACAATTATCTTTGTCCTTTTAGACTCCTTCACTATATCTTTCTCCCCACCGATAGCAGCTAGCATCCCCATATTGTCTGAAACAAATATTATGTATAAGTTTACCCTTCAAACATTTCGGATCAGGTATTTTATCACAGCTACATTTGGTGATTGTTAATCTTGTGGGGGAAAAAACATTTAATCTACCGACAATCCTAAAATAGATATAGATTGCTATAAAAGAACCATTCTTGTCTGCACAACTAAGGCTGACATTCGTAGCCTCTAGGAAATACTTTTAAAGCAACCCGGAATTCTTCATAGAGCCTTTGACATACAAAAAAATACAAAAAAAAGAAAAAACAAACCAACTTAAGATTTATATTTCTGCCTTCAGAATTTCAGTTTTTAACCATATTGGCAACATGGATGATGATATATCCTCTAAACAAAAACATGAATGAAGTAAATGGTGGAGTATGAGAAATCAACTTACATGTTCGTCCACGAAGACCATCGATCTCAATGGAATTTGTTGTCTTCTCATCACTATATACGGGCAAAGTATTTAGTCTTATTACACGAACCTTGATTCTCTAACATTCACTGGTGGGAGTGATTCTTGACAAAGTATGGATAGGTTTAGACATGGCAACTTCTAAAAAATGTATGGATTAGTACGGGTTAATATTTTTCAGTTGATTCAAGCAGAGGAGGTGACATGAGTTGTGCGTGTAGAATGTATATGTATATAGTCATGGCAAAAATAATCGTGGGAATCAAGGAATGGGTCAATTAAAGTATGAAATCTGCATATTGGAATTGTGAATTCGACAGCATTAAATCAGATCTTACCCTAATAAAATATGCTAGTCTATAAAGAATCAAACAATTAGGGTGAAATCAGAGAAGAATATGATTTGAATAAAAATAATAACTTTGAATTTCAGTAACAAACGCAGGAAGTTTTCGTTAGTTTCCTTATCTGAAGAAGAGCCAACGGTTCTTGTATGGCATCTTGGATCTCAATAATGTGAAGAAGAACCAATTATGGTATCAAGAGAGAGGACCTGCCAATTCACCATGGATTTCAATTTAGGAATTTTCCACAGGTTTTGATTTTGGAATTTTCCAAAATTTCATTCGATAAAGAAATCATGGCCGTAATCTCCGTGACTTTCCTTCGTGGGTTCTCCGTAGTCTCTTAGAGGAAATAAAATTATAGAAAATTGAAGAAGCCACGACCTAATCTTCAATAATTTCCTTCTTTGGGTTCTCCATATTTTCCTTGACGGAATAAAAAACACGTGCGAATCGTGTTGATAGAGACACGTGGCAATTTGTGAAGAAACAAAGCCTTAAAAAGTGCCAAATGTCAACTTCTCAGAGTCCAAACTCTCAAATTTTATATTAAAGGATAGCATAGGATTTAGGGGTCTTTAATTTTTTGAAATAGCATAGGGATACAATTTATAAATGTATTTCAAGCATAAAGTGAGTTCAACATAATACCTATCACATGAAGTAAAGCTCCTCGATTTGAGTTTGCGCTGCAAATTTTCTATTGATGCCAGGGTCAGGACACAAATATATAGTCTTTACTACATGATATATTTGATACAAACCTGAATTAGCATATGTAAATATATGAGCCTAAAAATATGACAACCCTCTTTGTATATCTACATTCCCATGTGATTTTAATAAAGTAAACTCACAAATTCATATACAGGATTTGTTGTACCGAGCATTCAAGGATGCATGCATTCCAACTTTAGCGATTGTTACACTCTGCTGCTCCATAAAGCTAGGCAGTATTGGTAATTCATCTTATCAAAGTTGTCAATACGAAGAACACCTATATCAGCAAGAACCATGGTCATTCATGTTGGTCATTTTTCTATTCTGACTAAAAAACAATATAATGTAAACTATTAGTAAATGTAACTTTTTAAGTTCTAAAAATGAATTGTGTTTCAAAGTGATTGTGTGAATATGGCACCACAAATTGCTCCTTGAGATAGCGAACGTAAACCTGGATTCCTTCCTCTTGATTAAGAAACAAATTTGTTTAAATTTTTTTTATACTGAGTAAATTACTCATTAAAACTAAAGTTGGAAACAAATATGTCTAAAATCTTTTTATACTCACAAAATTGTATATGAACTTAGGAATAAAAAAACAAACCAATTTTAAACATGGAATTGCAAGTTAATCAAGGGAAAAATTACATTCAAAATTGGGGAAAACGCAAATTTGAGCAATAACTACTAAATATAGACCTTAAGAATTCAAGAAAATTTACTCAATTAAAGCTTACCAATGAAAGTGATTCAAAGGATTTGAATGAAGGAAACACTATTTGAAAGAGCTCTCAGTATCGACCAAGTATTTTCTCTGGAAAATTAAGCGATTCGATATGCACAGTGTTCGTTCATAATTCCCGATCATCTCTTGATCATCTCCTTCGATTATCTCAAGACACTTTTGGAAAGACATGAGAATCTACCCTACACAAATTGAGGATGAGAATTGGAAATATTAAGGAATTACCTTCTCCCCCAAATACTCGGTATTGACATACAAAGAATGCAACGAATTTGTCAAAGAAGAGATATGGTATCTTGCAGTTTCTTTCTTTCGAGAGTTCCCTTGCGTAAATATGGACTTTACTTAGGTGTAGAAGTGACCACAGAATTATGTGAGAGTTTCCTTTTGCGAATAAGTTGTTGTCTATTCTTAATAGGAGAAGTATTCTTAATGGGAGAAGTTACACGTGTCAAAAAATGGTGCCTTCAAAATGCCAAATGGCAGCTTCTGAGAGTATAAACTCTCAAATTTTATATTAAAGAATTTATTTGCTCAGACACAATTTTATCTCTTCTAATTCCGAGATAATGTTTACAAAGCTTATATGTGTGAAGGAGAAGCGAAATAGAAGTGGATAATAAATTTTGGACAGAGCATACCTTTAGGAATTTGTAAAGGAGAGCAAAAGTCATGCTGGTTGGCTTGTCGTAAAGGCAAAGATTGGTTCTTGTCGTCATTGAGGGAGAGCAATGAAAATAAGTTAAAAAATTTATTTAATTAAGAAAAAATATTGACCTGCAACTTTTTCTCTCTGTACTTTGAGATTCTGCATAGAGTGTGGTGACCCGCCCTTCACATTCCAATTTAATTAACGCATATCCCGATGAGTTATCACTGTGTTTCCATTAGAGGAGAAATTGACAAAATAATATCCGAGGATTATCAGTGAATAAGAGGAAGAATTATAACTTCCAAGGACTATGAGCTATACAATTTTATTGTTTATAAGGCATACAATATTATTTTATTACTATTTGCTGGTCTCTTGCTACTAAAGAATCTGTGAAATTAGTATTTTCCACATTAATATTCATTCTCTATTTGTAGAATAAAATCTAAGTTAAAAAATGAAATCTTTGCTTGTTCACTGAATATCGGCAATTAGAAGCTTTAAATCCCACCAGCAAAAAATAAATCTTTCTGTTTGATGAACTAAAATAGTAATTGGAATCGAGACAGCAACAAAAAATCCCCAACTCCTACATCAGCTTCAGATCTCACATTGAACATCGAGATTGCAACACCCACGCCTCTCCAAGGAAATTCCTTTTAACATAGAAAATCATGTCCCTTTTCAGTTCATACTTCATCATTTACTGTTGAGCATCACACATTCGTCATTCACTGGGTCTGAGTGTATTGCTTAAGTGTTAGATAAACCTCATTTGTAGAGGATTTTTGGAGTGTAGTTCAATGTGCATAAGCATTAGGGCTAATTTAAAATGGTATAAAAAAATCCTGCTACTGTCAACATTATGCAATGTCAAGGGACTCAAGGTATCCCATACCTCACCTCTTGGAGATCCTTTTGGGATGAGTTAGGACAGATTAAGATCTAACACTCTAACACGGAGAGATCCAAGAGATTAAAAGACATATATTGTTAAAATGGTATAAAAAAATCCTGCTACTGTCAACATTATGCAATGTCAAGGGACTCAAGGTATCCCATACCTCACCTCTTGGAGATCCTTTTGGGATGAGTTAGGACAGATTAAGATCTAACACTCTAACACGGAGAGATCCAAGAGATTAAAAGACATATATTGTTAAGGGATTACCCGCATCATTCCATCTGAAAGGATCACATATTTTGGTTGACTACTATTAGTGAAGTCAAGAGAAAGCTCCCGATTAGCACCATGTTCCAACGATAGTGCTCCGCCCTTCCTATATTTGCAGTACTTGTATGTAAAAATCATTAAGGAAGATTGATTGGTGAGATAATGTAGTAATAGGAATTGCTAAATTAAGGCCCAATCAGAGCATGCATGCCTATCATGAAGGCACCTAAAGGATATTTCAAAGGAAAGTCATCTTTTCCCATCACACAATCTGCTTGCCAAAATGAGTCACCCGAGTAATTGAGCTTCACTCCATTTTGAACCTTCCATTGACCCAGCTTTAAAGAGCTACCAATCACATAAACCTGCAAATGTTGTGTCTTGAATCTTCCTCAAAACTGATAGCTTATATCAGCATCATAGTTTTCCAGAAGCAGATTTCTATCTTACACATGTCCCTTCATCTAATTGTGGGCAGCATATCTTGAACTGTATGATGACCAACTCTGTTCAAGCAAACAATTGATTGGAAAATTACACATAACACACAGAGTGGAAAAAACCAATCTTGACCTGAGAAAGTTTTTACCTTCTTCATCCACTTTGCTCTGAATGGCCCCAAGGAGCATTTCAACATCTAAACTCCAACTTCTGCGGAAGATGACATCTTTAAATGCTAAATTGAAAGGAATATCATCAGAACCAGTCTGAAATTAAAAATTATGCAAAATAATCACTTTTTGAAGCAAATAATAAATAATGAATACAACATACTAATCTTTGACCAACTCTAGGATATAACTAAAATAGTAATTGGAATCGAGACAGCAACAAAAAATCCTAGAAATTGTTAAATAATCCCAATCGAGATGGATAAAAAACTTATCAAAATCAGTGCTCTTTAGAATTTCGGCTTCCCTTATGAATACAGATTTCCAATGAGTGAGGATGAAGATCCGAGTCTGCTGCCGTCCACTGGAAGCCTACCGGCCAAATTTACTCTGAGTTTGGCCGCTACAGGGAAGGAAAAAAATGACGAAGCAGATTATTTCAAGAAGCAGATTGGTATTAATCAACCCTAATTTCCGGTTAAAATTAGGGAAAAATTGGGGTAGCCGAAGAAGAGTATCGCAGTACCTGGGAATTCTTTCCTTCCGTAATCCAACGCTGCGAGGAATCGGGGATGAATGGCAATTCGTTTCCTTTCAGCGTGAAGATTTGCAGCGAGGATTTCTTTCCTTCCGTGCGAAGAACTTGGGCGAGAGAAAGAACGGGTACTGGAATCTAAATTCGTTTCCTCTCACTTGTTTGACGCTTGTCATCCTACTTGTCATCAAATTAGAAGTCTAAATTTGCGACGTGTCAAAATTCTAGGCTATCAACTCTCAAATATTATATTAAAGGATTTTTTGACCCAGTCATATTTTTTGGAAACTCACGTTGCTTATTGAATTTATTTAATATGAAATATTTTATTTACATGTAGATGTTTCTTTGTTATGTTATATCATTTCAAAGTATATGGTTGTTGTGTTTTGAAAAAAAAATGTTGGTGCTTTGTTAGTAGTCTCTAATATTCAATTGTTAATGGTTGATGTGATATTGTTCTAACAGATGGTCTCATCTCCTGAAATATTAATTTTGAGAAAAAGGAAACAAATACAACTGCAAATGCTATTTTTGATCTTGTTCTTCACTAATGGAATCATTTTAGTAATTTTTATGTGGCTGACAATGATAGTTGTTGCACATAAACAAAATTTGAGGCTACCCTCTAGGGAAAAGAAACATCGAAGATTAAATAATGTGAATGCATTAATAAGAGAAAGTGATAGTGGTTGTAAAAGTAAACTTCGAATGAATAGAAATGCTTTCCACGTGCTATGTGAAATGCTTAGAGATAAAGGTGGTTTAACTAGCTCTAGCCTCTAGGTATATGTCCTTAGAAGAGACTGTTGCTATGTTTTTGTACACATTGGCCCATAAGTTTAAAAATAGGACAATTGGAAAATATTTGTATCGTAGTGGGGAAACTGTTAGTAGAAATTTTCATCGTTTTCTTCATGCGGTTTTGAGCTTGCACCCATACCTGCTCAAAAAACCTACACCCATCTCAGAAGGTTGTGAAGATAGTCGATGGAAATATTTCAAGGTAATGTAACAAATAATACATATATTCGTAGACAAACGTTTTAGAAAATATATGTTTTTAACACAATCTTTTCTATTTTATGCTATAGAATTGTTTGGGTGCCTTAGATGGTAATTATATTCAGGTGCATGTGTCATCTAAGGATAAACCAAGGTATTGAACTAGGAAGGGAAGTGTTGCCATGAATGTTTTAGGTGCTTGCATGCCTAACATGGAATTCACTTGTGCATTACCGAGTTGGGAAGGTTCTGCACATGATGGGCGTGTGCTTCGAGATGTACTTTCTAGACCCCACGGTTTAAAAGTACACCAAGGTATAACAATGATAATTTACAAGTATTATTTGTCGACCTTAGTGAGTAATTTTAAAATTTGCACTCCCTTGAAGGCACATATTACTTGGTAGACGCTGGATACACCAATTGTGAGGACTTTTTAGCGCCATTTTGAGGTCATCAGTATCACCTGAAAGAGTGGGGGGATCGTACACCAGTTTCAGCTGAGGAATATTTTCATATGAAGCATTCTAAAGCAAGACATGTAATTGAACGCTGCTTTGGTCTTTTCAAAGGGAGATGAGGAATACTTAGATGCCCTTCATTTTTCTCTATACTCACTCAAGGTCGTATTGTTTGGCATGCATTCTATTACATAACTTTCTTCGGATTCACATGCCAACAGATGATAAGGCATGCTTTCAAGATAGTGAAGATAAGGATGATGATGATGAAGGCAATATAATGATTATGATGATAATGTTACCCACATTGAAACCTCAGATGCTTGGACTACTTCTTGCAGTACTGTGGCAGAATCTAGCTTTAATAATTGGCGTGCTAGGACACGACATATGCATGAATAAGTAGTGTTTTGAATATTGTTGTTTTTATGTGCTTGATAGTGACTATTTTTCTATTTTTGGAATGTTATAATGCTTTTTTTACAATGTAAAAAGTAAGTATTTTTGGGACTGATTAAACCATGTTTACATTTTAAAAAATGTCTATAGAATATTTTCTTGTCATGCTTTTTTAGGATGGAGAGTAGCCAAAGCACCATGCCAACAAGTGAAACTTCTAAAAGCTTCAATAACAAGATTAATAACCGTGGAAGAGGTAAGAACAAACGGTTTTGGTCAAGAGATGAGGAGTGGGGACTGGTGCATCTTCTTATGGAGTTAAGCACAGATCCTAAGTGGAAAGCTGATGGGAACTTCAAGAATGGGTACCTGCAAAAACTAGAAAAATTGATGAACGAAAAATTTCCTGTGTGTGGATTGACATTAACTCAAATTGAATCCAAAGTGAAACAATTCAGGGAAAAGCATAATGTGATAATGGTGATGCTTGGAACTTCAGGCTTCTCTTGGGATGACAAAAACAAGATGATAAAGTGTGAAAGACAATCTTACGATGAATTTCTCAAAGTAAGAATTTCACTTTCCCTTTTAATCTTTTTACTATCTTTTTCTAATGCGGGTAGGGTGTGGGAGAGCCATGATGAATTATTTTATTCTTATGGAGATACCCATCTTTTCTTCTTCCATAGTAATTCGGACATATAATAAAAGCAATAGAATTAAATCTAAGGCCAATGTCTTCTACTTTTAGTCTCTCATGTCTCTTTATTATTATTTTTTTCCCAATAATGAATTGTAGTTTACATAGGCTCTTTTTTAAGCTGATATGCATAAAGCTTTAAATGTTGGTTGGCCTACTTATTACAAGAGATCGAATTCTATGTGATATGTTCTCATGTTTTCATAATGCTCTACTGGATTCAGTTTTAAAGAATGCAAGTGGATATTCTTGTGGAGTGCAATTGAAGGGGGTGGGGGTGTTTGTTCGGGGCGGGCCGGGGTGGGGGGGTTTACCAGGGGGGTTGGGGGGATAGGAACTGTCAATTTTACGAACGGGGCACCGGAGCGCCCCCGGGTCATCCCATGACATTGGTTCCCAATGTCATGGGAACCTTCCCCTAAAAACTTTATTCTCTACTAATTGTTTGACATATATATACAATAATAAGTCTCTACCCTAAATATTAGGGATAAGAACCAAATTAAGAGTAAAACATATGACATATTCTCAAAATAGGAGTTGAAACTTAAACTCCTCTAAATAAGAGTAATTAAGTTCATTAATCTAATCTTCTCACACACTCTCCCTTCCCGTCAATTTCTTCCCTAAATCGTACAAAGTACAATACCATATCTCCATCTCCATTCTATCTTCCCTCGATTTATGATTTTCTTTATTTTTCAAGCCCAATTTAATCAATAAACCTTTTTTTTCAGATTCTAACTTGAAGTCTCAATGCAAACGTGTCTTAGTAAAAATACCAGACATTCAACAGTTTCTTTCTCGTAACATGACATGCATGAAGTTTAAAATTTTTTTGCCTTTAGTGTACGTGCATCAAGAATAGAATTTCCACACTTGTTCAGGTCAATACAAGTATACCCTATTTTTAAGGGAAGAGTACAAGTATACTGTATACCCTTACTAATGAACAATGCTATAAAACTCGTGTATAAAATTCAAAGGTTTTTTTGTTTTTCAATGTTTTTCGCTTTCTTTGTGAATCTGCCTTGCTATGGTGAGTGGGTGCCTCGATTTGTAATGTAGAGAGCTGAGATCAAGCTCAAATATAGTAGAGAGGCCACTATCGAGACGAGACTTATACAGTGACATATAAAGCCATACATGTAAATGCATAGTATTAAACAAAGGAATAATACCAAACATGACAATGTATAATGCCACACTTGGCAATGTATAATGATAGATATGTTATTGTATAATGCTACATATCACACATGTTAATTATATGTTGGCATCAGACTATGTCGATGCCTTTGTCATCTCTTTGTTAGCAATAATAAAGCCCCAAACAATAAATCCAAATCAAAAGATATGCGCGAATGGAAAATGGAAGGGCAACGAGGGGGAGGGGAGATGGCGGAAGGAGGAGGCGGTGATCGTGACAGAGGGTCGATGGCGATGGTAAGTAGGGTAGTGGTGTGATGGTGCGGAGAAGAAGAGATAAAAGGAAGAGACTATTTTTCCCTTTTTGTGTGGTCAAGAAAAAATGAATGAATATGATGCGGGTAGGACTTAGGATCGCATCACTTAATACATGATTAATTACTCCTATCCTATTTAGAAGACATGATATATGTTTTACTCTTATTTAGGGAGTTTTCTTTAAATATTACTCATTTCGTCCCACTATATTTGTCAACTTTTATTTTTGCACACTATCCAATACACTTCTTTAATACATTTTATCTTGCAATTTGTATATTAAAAAATTATAGAAATTATATATTAATAATCTATATGTTACTACCTCCGTCCTGCTATATTCGTCCACTTTTGATTTTTGGAACTGTTCATCTAAGCATTTTGACTCATCAAATTCCCTCAATGTGTAAGCCTAAATATAGTCATGTGTGATCATGTTTGATTTGTCTTAACATATAGATTATTAATATATAATTTCTATAATTTTTTAATATACAAATTACAAGATAAAATGGATTAAAGAAGTGTATTAGATGGTGTGCAAAAATGAAAGTGGACAAATATAGTGGGACGGAGGGAGTAAGACAAATCAAACAAGATCACACATGATTATATTTAGGCTTACACATTGAGAGAATTTGATGAGTCAAAATGCTTAGATGAACAGTTCCAAAAATAAAAAATGGACAAATATAACGAGACAGAGGTAGTATTTTACTTTTAAATTAATCTTTTTTTAAATCGAAAGAACTAAAAAAAGTAAACTAAATAACCATTATTTTTTTAAAAAGCTTCCGTTCATCCTTTACTTTTAAGTAAAAACCGATTCCGTTCATCTATATCGAGTGACTAGTGAGTCGTACTCTCGGTCAAACCTTTAGTAAGTAAAGTGACCCATCCAGACGACATATACAGGCAGGCGTTAAGTTTCTCTGTTCGGATGGGACATGGTACGGATAAGTGCTTGTATTTTTGTGCATATACCATCATCCTCCCTCTCACAAGCTCTCAAACTTGTAAACATCATCAATGCACTAATTTCCAACGAAAAATTCCTTTACTGCTGCAAATCATCTCTCTACCATTCTTTCTCTCTCTACTCATCCCTCTGATTGAA